TCTCCGACACTCTCCGGCACACTCCGACACTGTGCGGCACTCTCCGGCACTCTGCGGCAACTTACCGGCACTCTCCGGCACTCTGCAGCTCTCTGCGGCACTCTCCAGCACTCTATGGCACACTGCGGCAACTCTCCGGCAATCTCCGGCACTCTGCGGCACTCTGGTGCACTTAACCACACTCAACGGCACTGTACGGCACTCGATAAGGCTCGAAAACACTTGAAAAACGCTCAAAAACGATCGATAACGCTCGACAACTCTCGAATAACGATCAATAACGCTCGAAAACGCTTAACAAACGCTCCAAAACACTCGAAAAACGCTCGGAAACACTGTAAAAACACTCGAAACCCGTTGAAAAACGCTCGGTAGCACTCAAAAACGGTCTAAGAACGCTCGAAAACGCTCGAAACCGCTCTGAAATTTAGCGATAAACGCTCCAAAACGTACGAAAACGGTCGAAAAACGCTCAGAAACGCTTGAAAACGCTCAAAAAACCCTCGAAAACGCTCGATAATGCTCGATAACACTCGAGAACGCTCTAAAACGCTTGAAAACGCTCGATAACGATCGAAAACTCTAGAATATCACTCGATAGCACTCGAAAACGCTCTGAAAACGCTCGATAACTCTCTGAAAATGGTCGAGAAACGCTCGATAATGCTCGAAAACGCTCGAAAACACTAGAATATCACTCGATAACACTCGAAAACCCACGACCCGGCGGGAAAATCCGTCGTGTCGTGACGCAAAGGGAGGACCCTTTGCGTTATGACATGGGGGTAAAATCCGTCGTGCCGTGACGCAAAGGGGGGACCCTTTGCGTTATGACATGGCGGTAAAATCCGTCGTGTCGTGACGCAAAGGGGGGATCCTTAGCGTTATGACATGGGGGTAAAATCCGTCATGTCGTGACGCACAGGGAGGGACCCTTTGCGTCACGACCCGACGGATTTTACCGTCGTTATTTTGCGTTATGACATATCTACAGTATATCTTAACTATCGAGCACCCACGTTGTAATTTTGCCTGTATCATTTGCGGATGAAATAAATGAGGTAAGTGAAGGGTAAAGTCAAAAAGGGCGCCACGAGTGTTCTTTCCTTACCATCAAATGCGAGCAGTGTTTGTGAGCGTAGGTAAGCCTTCACCGTCAACTGCCGCATGGTATTACCATCACGAGTACGTGAGCCGCCAGTGGCAACTGGTAGATGGCACCACCATCGCGAGTGCGCGAGCCCCTACCAGAAGTTCGTTGCGCCGCCCTTGGGGACAAAAAACGGTGAAAGCTGACGTACGAAACCAGAGGACAGCACAGGATGCGATTGCACGACCCTGCCCGTGAGCAATCTCCCAACTCATCTCTGATACAGAGATCTCTGTATCAGAGATTTCATAACCCATACAGCACACCACTCGCATACCATACGCATCCGTCCATACAACACACTACTCGCATACCATACTCATCCGTCCATACAACGGTCACCGCAGAGTACAGGATAAGGCGCCGAGTACATTGCCAGTTGGCATCGAATTACGGATATAATTTGCCGAAAGGGAATACTACTTCTAACGCGAACAATCCAGCAGCTTCCACCGTCACCGACGACTAACCCAGCTCGGCTGTCGGCCCGCGAATACGAGTTTCACTCGACGGGCTTGTCCCGGCTTACAGCAGGCAAAGCCCCCGCAGGATGCCGCCAAAGCGAAACAACGCATCGCGCAGCCGACAACCTGAGCGAGGTAGCCTTGCACGCCGTAGCTTAGCTACGACGTACTAGGTGCCGACGGAAGCTGCCGGATACACTAAAGGTACGGCATTGCTGTACCTGTAAAAATCTACTTCGGTTAGCACGCAAATCCGAAATTACTAGCTGCATGGAAAGGTACCCGACAACATCCTTTCCGCAATTTACAATTACGCTCGCACACAATGAGTGCTTCCACTTTTCACTACGTTAAACTACTATCATACAAAAGAAAAAAACACGCTAAGTGGAACCACTCGCGCAGCTATTTGCGAACCGGTGGTTTCGAACAATAGTTGGAAACCACCGATCCCCCAGGCTCACCACGTGGAGGTTGCTGCGCACCGAAACCCTTTACAAACGTAATAAATTAAGTTAAATATATTAAGAAAGGGAACGGAAGGGAGGGGGGATGTCTCTCATAAGGCCCGGTTTCACAACCCAAGTTAACCGAAGTTTGATTTTTAACCGTTAGATTAAACCGTAGGTTAAAACTGGGGTTAACTTTTAGGTTAAACCGTAGGTTAAAACTGGGGTTAACCGTTAGGTTTAACCGTACGTTAAAACTGGGGTTGAGCCAGTTACAGTAAAAACAGGTAACTCGATGTTTACCCTTCGGAAGACCAAAGGGTAATGATGCTCCGAGCGCGCGCTCGGCCTTATATAGGGTCCCCGACCCCGGCGTGCGCATGCGCAGTTCTTTATCACACCTTTGTATATTGCAATTTTGGAATTTCTTTATAATAACGGAATTTCATGGCTACGGAACACTTTTTTAGGGTCTTTATACTCACGTTATAAAATTTCAAACGATTAGGTACACCTAGTTTTGTGAAAAATTTCCTTATCAACCGACCCCTCGGTTGCCTCTTTCTCGTCACCTTAACGGAAAATCCGTAATTATAAGATGATGCAATAGGAGTACAAGGGTACCTTTTTCAGGTATCTGCGGTCAGGTGGCGACCGGGAGAAGCGACGGTACGGTAACTGAGGACTCCCGATTATCACAAAATCCTAATCATCATAAAATCCCCAAATTCTAATAATCAATTTTGAAAGTTATTAATCAACTATGTATTAGACATTTTGACGATCATACGTAAAAAATAATGCGCGAGCCCCTACCAGAAATTCGTTGCGCCGCCCTTGGGGGCAAAAAACGGTGAAAGCTAACGTACGAAACCAGAGGGCAGCACAGGATGCGATCGCGCGACTCTGCCCGTGAGCAATCTCTCAACTCATCTCTGCTGATATACACTGATATATATGATCTAAGGCTTGATCGGGCTCGAATCTATCGTAAAAGATGGCGGCGCTAACAAAACTTGGCAGAGTTTTGTGTGCACTTTCTGTGAAAAATAATATTTATTCATATAATATCGCGAGGCATGGTATGTGACTGCGATATTTCATATCATTTAATTCTACAGCTACTTAGAATTTTCCGATTATTCTAATAAAGATTGACAACCCTTGTTCAGAGGTTATGTAAGTCTTAGCAATTAGAAAATGAGCAATTTTATTTTAAAAGATCATTATTGTCTAGGGCCCTGTTTAGTGGATATTTTTTTTTAGTGAAATATTTTGATTAGAACAATTGAACTATATTTTATTGACTTTTTAGTTAAAATACAAAGTATTAAAAACATTGCGGTGTACTTCAGAATCGAAGTTAACATTTGAACAGTAACTTAATTGTGTACTGTATTTTTCTAATTGTAGTACATTACCGGGACTGGCAACCTGGTCCATGCCCACAAACGGAAGAGGAACGTATCAAAGCAGCAAAGAAATATAATCTTGTACCAGAAGATTACAGAATTCCTAAAGATAAAGATAATGTTTATGGTGACTATCCTGATTTGCCATTTATAGGACAGGCGTTAAAAGATCCTTATTACCCATGGGACAGTCCAGAATACAGGAGAAATTTTAATGAAACTGTAAGTTTTTGTATCATGTTTTACCAACTATTTGGTATCTGTTTTTTTATAATTAACATAATGTACTCTTTATTTAGGTGAATATGGACTTTGACATATGTGATGATCGTAAACTTGATCCTGGTAAAAGGACACGATTCTCAATACTTTACATGTTTTCAACTACTTTTTGTGTTTTTGGATCAATATACCTATTGTATTTGTTGGGAATGAAGTATCCTTCCGTGATACCAGTGGTAATTATATGAAAAGTTATAATATTTATATTTGTAACTAAGTTTATAATAATTTCTTCATTTTAATGATATTAATAAGTAATGCATAAATACATTATTTCTTTTTCATTTGCCAGACGGAAAAGCAGATCCCTAAACCAGGTGTAACACATTATACATTTGAACCACTTGAATAATTAATGTGAGAATGCAGTAATGTTAATCAAATATAAACAAATAAAGGGTAGTAATATGCATCTGTAAATGTTTAATTTAACCGTCAAATTGAGTATCTGCAGGTATGTGACCATATTAATAACATTCAAGTCAAATCAATTGCACATCTTATTACCAGTTTCAATAAACGGGTATATACTTTTATATGTTTGTTATCATCTGTTAATCTACTGATATTGTTATTTTTATTTAAATTACTCACAGATACACTCAAAGCAATTACATTCACAATTACAATAATATCAAAATATACAGATTAAGTTGAAGATCGAAGCATAACTTTATTGCACTTGTAAAAAATACACTTTAGTAATACTACTACAATATATTGATACTAAAATACTTTTATTACAACATATTGATAGCCTCGTAGGTTTTTTGAAAGCAGCTATTAATTTAAAAACGACATAAGTTGCAACTTTTCTTTGGTATTATAAACCTCCAAAAACCAGCAATATTACCTTTTCCTATCACACATTAAACTTTTTTATATAGAAAAATTATAGTTACAATTTAAGCATGCTACAAAGTTGAAGATCCATCAATATAAACTTAATCTTGTTTATAAGAAAAATTTAAACACGATGTATTATACGCGAGTATTAAAATAATTTAGAAATAACAATGTTGGACAGTAATAGTAGAAAGGATTGTTGAAACTTGACATTTTTTTCCTGCATTCATTATATAAGCATTTTTATGACATTAACCCCTTGGCCTATACGATATATGCCAATTGCGTGACTTTGCCACGAGTCAGACTCGTGGTTATAGGCCAAAGGGTTAATTATTATGAATATTTAATGACAATAGTTTTCTCCATTATCACTAACAGTCAAGTATAGTTACATGTAAATTCATTATTTTTATGTATTTATAGTATTAATGAATCATAATGAAATAATCATTCAGTTATTTATTACTAATACTACAGTTATTTTATTCACTATACTAAACTAAACACGTTATTTAAGTGAACTATGTATGACAGTTTATATAAAGCTTCATCATACAAAATTATAAAACTTACACTGTATATTTAGAAGAGTAAACAAACTGTATGTACTCGTAATTCATGAAACAAAAGCTATAAATATTTCATCAAATTTCCAACATTGAACAATCTAGTCGAGAAAGTGAGAAAATCAAGTACATTCCACAAGATAGGTGTCAAACAGATATGTATGATTGCACATATCTGGATATGAATTATAAGTCATCTAAAAAAATAACTTATTTGTAATGATAATATAAAGTGAATGTACACGTATTTGATCATAAGAATCTGTCCATTAATTCGAAACAATGATAAATATCAATCTTCTCGACTTTTATCATGGTCATTGCTGCTTTTGTCTACAGTTTTTGCTGTCCCTGGCAGACCCAATTTTAATGTCGGTTAAACAGAGGAAAGTTACTTTACAAATCAATTTAAAGACTTCATTGACAGGGACAAAGCACCTGATTTGTCTTCAGAGTGCAAGTCTTTTGATGCCGCACTCACAACAGAATTTCGCGGTTTCAGGAAACTTCGAGCCACACTCGTGACAGAATTTTGACATTTTGTACTTGACTGGGGTCCCTGTGTCGTCACGAGGGCCGGATCCAATGTCATCATCGAGACGACTTCCTCCGTCATTTACGCTGCATCCATGGTTGAAGTATTTGCGATTTAAGCTAAAGGAATAAATTCCAAATATTTAGACAATTTTCCCTTGTATATGCGATGGATAAAAGGTCAAGATACGTAAATGAAAATGAAATAAAAATCAACACGATAAAACGTCATAAATAGAAAGGTACTTAAAATGGCATTTGTTACTACACTTGTACAATAGGTTGATTTAAAAAAAAAAGCTTTCTCTTTTTAAACCAATTCAACTTGAATTTCTTAAACCAATTTTAGTCCCCTGATGCTCTAAAGTCAAGTAATATCTAATTAAATATGAAGACGATGTCATTTAAAAGAAATAACTTGAGAACATTCTATATTTATTTCTTCTTAATATTCTAATTAGGAACAATTTCATATGATTCGAAAAATTGAGCAATTTACAGGGCAAATAAGAATTACGAGTAATTCAAGAAAAGATCAAACAACCTGCTGTATGCTGAATCCGCACTGATCTTGCCGTGATCCTGACGTTTGTAGCTATCTGGCGAAGACAATTCCTCGTCGCTGACTAGGCCGTTTCGCTGTTGACTATGTTGAATGGGACTAGGGACGGACATGGAATTACTTTTGAGAAAGGATCTTAGAGAAGGAAACGAGGATACGTCTTCTTCGAAGGAGCTCGTTAATTCGTCAAACATAGAGTTCGATCGTTTAATGTCGACGTCCGAGGAGACTATAGAACTCAGACTTAAGTTACTCTCAGAAAGTACATTGTAATTATTATTCCTAGCTGTGGAATTTGTTTTCGAATAGTTTGTCGTTTTAGGGCAGGCTTTCTTTACAGAACTTCTGATGGAGTCTTTTCTTTCTGGTCCCTTAGGCGCAGACGAGGCTCTGACCGAATTGCAGCGGGAGACCGTAGGTCGCATGACCTTGGGGGTGACCTTTTCCAGGATTTTCCGCGACTTTTCTACGGAATTGATGAAACTCCGACCGCGGTTGCCGTTCGCTTCATCGTGTTCGTTCACGGTGAACGGCTTAGATTTGTCGAGGACGACGAGCCTCGTGGAGACGTTCAGGGACCTATGCGGTTCGATAGTCTCCTTTGCGCGAGAATGATTCTCTAGTTTGACCTCCTTCGAGATAGAATTGGTTTCCGTGGAATCACTCGAGAAGTCTGACATAAGGTCGTCGAATTCTGTAGGAGGTGCGATCAAAGAGGTGCGCTTATTTGTCACCGAGGATGGTGGGGCAGGGTATTTGGCGAAGGCTGAAGAATGGGAAAGAGGATAATTAGAGGACGACTCGGATGTATTCCGTTCTCGAGGACCTTCCTGTAAGGACTCGCTTGTATCCGAGAGAAGCTCGTTCAGCTGGCGTTCCGCAAGGAGGAAAGGATCATAATCCTTTCGTACATTGCTATAAGTTAAAGATATTTATTAGACATTACATACGTAAGCACCGCCAGGCTCGATGATGGTAAAGTAAGAAACGATAATAGGAATAAATGTAGAACAATATTATAGTCATGTTTATGACTTAACATGCCACGTGCAAAGAATGTTTAACAGATAAAGGGTATAATCCTTGCAGCCGGGACAAACGTGCTTGCTAACCATAATATGGCGATAGGTGAATTTTTATCTCGAATACGGACGAACATCAGGATATTGAATATGTCCGACTACGACCGGCATGACCGAGTTTGTTACATTTTTATAAAGGAATTAATTTAACTTTGCTCGGTCGTATGGAGATGTGATGTGCATTGCAAAATCTGGGAATACGATCGTAAGGCTTATATGTAGGGTTAAAATAGGAATGTCGCTTGCTGTACAGGATACTATAAAAAGCAACGATTATCTTAACGGTTTGCAGACCGTCGAAATTTGATCTCTCCAAATGGCCATCCGCGGTGAATCGTCAGATGGGGATATCAAGTCGACGGATAAAGAATGTGCTATGATCAACGGGTAAAGGGCATGAAGGACATGTTTCCGTGTTTCGTATCTGAAACTTCATGTGCACCTTGACGCTCTCTCTCTAAATTGTATAGCCATGAGAAAATTAAATGATAACTCTCTTCAACAATATCCATTACTGAACGTCGGTAATCCCTTATCGAACTTACATTCTATCGTTAAGTACGAAATTAAAGTCCGGACCAGATCGAAGATAATTACTCCAGACAGGTCGAAGCGGTGGATCACGAGTCCTATAAATGTGAATTCTTGTTAATTCAGCCTACCTTCGTCGGCGTGCCGGTAGGTTATTGGATGCGACAGGTGGAAGGGTTTGAATCGTGGGATTTTTCCAAAGGACTTTCAGCCCTTCCTGCTTTGGAGGATCCAGAGTGATCAGTCTGCTCGATGAGACCTTCAGAGCTTTTTGCCAATAGAATGGGCTTGATTTCTTGCTGAAAACTTCTCTGCTATTTCCGTTTCCGATTCTTGGAAGAGTGTTGCATTTTTCTTGAGAATTGTCTTCATCGATAGAGTTGATGTTATATGTTCTTGTTTTGTTTTCCTCACAGATAGGCTCTATGCTACAGATCTCTGTTGTACATGGACTTGATATGATGCCGGGGTTGGACTGTGTTATTTCAAAGGAAGATACTAATGTGTCCGTACTTCCACGAAGAAGATTCATGTTGTGTCGAATCTTCTTTTTTATGTCCGAAGACGCTCTCAGCTTTTCAGATTTCACATGAGGATCCGACAGAGATTTCACTTTGACGTCTACAATGTTCTGACCATCAGAAACCCTAGAGTCCTGAATAAACGGTTTATTGTCTGTATCATTTGACAAATTCTGATTATTGGTTACCGAATCGTGACTGACGTTACTAAAGTTCTTGTTTGCATCTTTTTTTTCATGCCCGCTGACAATAATTTCATTAGTTGTTTCGGTGAAAAATGTTGACGTACCAATGCTGCTGATATTTGCGTTTTCCTGGAGCCCAGTTGTGACCTTCCGTTTCTTGTATCTCTTTCCACTTTCACTTTCGATGGCATTTCCATCAGTCTTGGTTATCCGCAATTTCTTTGCAGGTCTACTATCCGGTGACTCTTTTCGATCTTCAGCATTTAGTAATTCTGGAGGCTTTTGAATCACATAGGTACCACATCTCTTTTGAGAAACTGCTTTAGATCTTACAGAATAACCATTAACTTCTAAATTATCCGAGTTCAGTTTTGCATTATAAGATAGTTCTTTCTCTTCAGAATTAATTGTGCAATCGATTTTGGTACCATCTTTTAAATTCCAATCACCGAACTTCTGTGTCGTTAATGTATGACCTGGCGAACATGTATCGATAGGAGAAATATTTGACGCCCTTCCGTAATGTTCAGAAAGATTATCTATAATTTCTAAATTATTTTTATGGTTATCTTTAAGGAATGAATTTACTTGCAATGTTTCATTCATATCATTGCTATTTTTAATTAAATTGTATTCTATTGCAGTGACGTTAAGGCTTTGCGCAAGACGATTATTAAATTTAGGACTTGCAGACAAAGTTGGTGAATTAAGATTAATATCCTTCTTGACTCCAGATTTCAACGAATTCTTCACAATTTTAACATTTTCCTTTAAAACCTCATTTTTTGTTTCCTTTTCATTTTGTAAGGTTGATATATTTAAACAATTACCACAATTTGGATCTTTTACTTCAACTTGAGTCTCCACTTTGTCTTTTTGTTCTAGAATGACAGGCTTTGCGTCTATAGAATTAGGAGACTTTACAAAATGATCAACTGTTTTGACAGTGCGTTCAGCCCCTCTAAGAGTTCCAGAATTATCTATGTAGTGTTGAAGATGTGGATACTTTTTAAATGTATTTTCATCCTTGGAGTCAACTGATGTTTGTTTATATGGCGAGATGTTAACTGGTACCATTTCTGTTTTGCACATATTGTTCAAACGTTTCATTTCTTTAATGTCCGTCTCATGATCAATAGAATTTACTGTTACAGCGACAGACATTGAATCGGGAAATATTTCTACTAATGGGTTGTTCGAAGAGTCTCTCAATTTTTTAGACAATAGATTACGCATTGATTCATCGTAGGAACGGTAGTCTTGGTTCCTTTCATTTTCTGATATGTTAGCGTCATTGACATTTAACGTCAAAGTAATATTATCAGATAATTTTAATTCATCTTTGGATTTTAAACGAATATCCAGTATAGGACTATTTTGATCACAAGTCGATTCTTTTGTACTCGATTCCGTCGTCATGTTCATCTTCTCGTCCTTGCTTTCTTTAATCAAATAAGTTTGATCTAGTTTTTGAACTTTATTTATCCACGTAATATTATCTTCGATACAAAAAGAATTTCTACATTCATCTTCTAAAGATTTAGCAATACTTTCAGGAGTTTGACATTCAAATTTGACCTGGCATTCATTATCATGATAAGGCTCCTTCGTTTCCTGCAAATCCCTACACGTTGGAAGTTGTAATTCTTCGATTTTAAAACGCATCTTTGGTGGATGATTCTTGGATCTATGAATATCTTGTCTGATTTGCTTCCAAGTGACTTGTTCAGAATCGATACATTCATGGTTTCTTTCGTCGCCTATACGATTCTCGTGTATATTGCAAGGATAAACACTTATGCCAATAACTCGATCGTTAATTGCGACATCATTGAGCTTAGGATTGCCGCAACTCCTGGCAGAAACCAAGTTAATCCTCTGGGTTCTTCTCACTCCGTCAGTCTTTCCATTAGAGCAGTTAACGACCCGATCGGCTCTGGATCCTCCCGTCTCTATTTTCCGAGCTTCGGCAGAGGAACGGGTCAACAGGAGGTCACTTCTCGTTTTACCAGGACTCGCGGAAGGGAGTTGGAAACTTCGACGAAGGTCACGCCGAGAGGATCGTGAAGAGGTGAGTCCGGATTCGCAGTCTTCAGTCAGCCTGAGCAGGAGGAAATAGGGTCAAGGATGCACGCTCGATGGTCATCAGGAGAAGGTCATCAAGGTTACGATTAGTTACACAGCAATGTACCGTTTCGGTACCTACCTTACACAATTTGATAAAGAACGCCGACCCTTCCCCTTCTCCTCATGCTCATCATTGACTACACGTTCCGCACGAACCGAAACCCTCGACGAATCTCAAATCTATACCTAGTAGCTTGATTTCTCCTCACCTGATTGAATGATCCATCGTCAGCCTTGACTTGTTGGCACTGGAGGTAACAGGCGGCTCTCGGTTATGTCCGGATCGTCTTCTATAATGAGAAACAGTGATGTACGATACTAAACTTCCTCGAGTTCACGCGGGAAACCGAGTCGGCGTATTTTTATCGTCATTCTCCTAACTTCTTAGGTACTGACGCTGTCTACTCACACGGGAGACGGTTTCGTCTTTCCCGGACTGTCGCTTATCTTGTTGCAGTTGGGAGACGATACGCTCTCCTTCGCTCTGCTCGTATATGACGTTGGTGACGTTTTGTTGCCGGTGCTTAAATTGATGGCTGACCCGGGGGCGTATTTCTCCCGGTTTGTTGGTCGCCTATTTCTCATGGCTGGTGCTCGGTACTTCATACGAGCCTCGAGTCGTTCCTTGGCGACGTTTGTAGCCGGGCTCACCGGAAGTCTCGTGGCACGCTCCTTGCACCACGCAACGTGACGATCGTAGGCTTTGATTCCAAACTGGCGATTACACGTGGGACACATCCCCTTTTCGTTGGCACGGGTGGGAGCACCCGTCGAAATCGCTGGTGGTACCTTAGAGTCGACCTACACAAAACGATACACATAAAGTTACGACGATCTTGGCGAATTTATCATATGCGAGAGACTTTGGTAACAATTTCACGACAATCTTTTGAGATAAACGTCTGATTCTCCGAATGAAAAAAATTAGTTTTCCTAACTAAGCAGCAATTGAATTCCGTATCTTTATGCTATAATGTCGAAATACGGTAACTCTCCTCTCTTAAAATAAATCTATTCTCCGTATTTCATCTAACGACGATAAGAACGACACGAAGAAGCTCGATATTTGCAGAAAATATGAATCGTTCAGTTTATCACGAATCTACGAAACGAGATACTCCGAAACTTGGTCCGTTGACGACGTTAGGATTTCGAGGTGATAATTCGACAATGAGCGCAATGTCATCGCAAACTGACATATTTTACCCACTCATCGATCACAACGGCACCCGCACTTCGACAAAACCGTGAAAAAAGTAGTCAAATACCGATTGGGAGTTTCCCGTGACTTCCTCGCCTCTGATGTCAAAATGCAACATGGCGGCTCTGGCTTTACCAGACCAAAAGGGGGGTTATATGCAGTTGTCATAGGAGAAATTGAAGAATTTTGTTTTTCGTAACTAAATTGCATTTTTAAATCGGAAACAGCGTGATTTCATAGTACAATTATTGAACTTAATATATCATTTTTTTGAGTTACAGGAATTTTCCGAAAGTTTTCTTTTTTTTCTGCGGTGACCACGATATCTCAAAAAGTATTTCACCGATCGGCTTCAAATTTTTAGGGCTAATTCTACACATGGAGGACTGCTGAATGACCGAAGGATTCTTCTTTTATATGAAAACTTGCTGTTTTATTAAGGAAAGACGAAAATGTTATAAGACGAAAAAAGTGACTTTTCAGTAAAACCACTGCCATTTTGGTAAAAATCGGAATTTGGAAAAATCCTTCGTGTCATGTGAAACAGTTCTATCCAATGCTCTTAAAAAAAAGTATTGTATTCGAATCGACCGATTTGAGGGGGGTTGCACTTCACCTCAAGAAAAAGGCCAGTCCACACTTACAGAATCTCCTCGAGCGGCGCGGATGGCACGAAGGAACTCATCGTGAGTCTGCTTCCAGGAGGAGGAGGGCTTGCAAGTCCGGTCCTCGTGGTAGGGCCGCTTCTTCTCCTGCTTCGGCAGGAATTCCGCGAGCTCGGTCCCCTGGATCCTCTGCTTCGCGGAGTCGAAGGGCTTGCGTCTCTTGACGGCCGTTCGCTCGCAGATCCTGGCATGTTTCTCCAGCGACTGCGGCTTGAAGGTCCGCGCGCAGATCGCGCACGGCAGCAGGATGGGCGGCACATCTGTGTCCATTTAACGAGGGCGTCCCCGTTAATTTCTCGATGAGAACTTGTGGCCCGGCGGCCCCGCGGACGACGCGGGACGAGCTGGCTGCCCGATCTCGGCGGCGAATCGTCTCTCTCGCGCTTTCTCGCGATTAATCGTCCCACAAGGATTAGCAATCGTTACTTCGGGACTCTTTCTCATTGGGCCGAGAGTGCCGGGCGACCTGCCGATCTTACCGAGGTCGGAAAACGACCTGATCGCGGGCCAGAGGACTCTATTGTCCCGCGAGGAACGAGTCGTGAAAGCGGGCACTTTCACGAGCCTCGGAAATGCGCCCGCACTCGGATGGACCCCGTGGGAAGACCGAGGGGACCCTCGCCGATCGGCCCATTCTTCCGACTCGGTCACGTGACCCTCTTACGAGGCCTCGCCGAGCTGCGACAGTCCAAGGCGAGCCGCGAGGCCACCTTAGCTCCGTCCGTCCGAGAAGTTACCGCGAGGATGCATTCGTAAGAGGAAAAACGTTTGATCGATCTTTGTCCTGCTGGAGAATGATTGGAATAGTCGGTTCGCTGATAATAACGCAGAGTCTGTGTTTAGGAGCCTTTCGCGAGACCCTGGAGCGAGGCTAATGGTGCAGGAGCGGGGTGGAGGTAAAGAACCGAGGAATGTCCGTGGATGAATACTACCTGCAGACGCGTGCGCTAATTCACTTTACGCTTGGGTAGCGTAACGTGACCGGCGTAGAATATTCGCGGATAATTATCCTCGGTACTCGTGGTACTCGTTGCGGAGACACGTGCGCTAGTTACTGAAACTGCCGACTGACTGCTCCGAAGGAATTTTCACGGACACTGAAAACGCGGATAAATCGAGATAACTCGACGAAGAAGATTTTACGACGAATTCCCGATGCCTGCCTCTCCGTGCACCAATTTACCGCAAGGCCACTAGTTATACCAGATTGGTAAGGATGATTAAAGATTTTTAGTAAGTGTTCAGAGGGTACGTGGGAATTTGTTTACTCGGGAGTCATCGAAGGTAGTGGAGGGAATGATCAGGATTTCGCCCAGAAATTAAATATACATGTTTTACGAACGATACTGAAGGAACAATTTACGCGCACTAACCCGCTCCGGAGACCCCAATTGTGCAGGTTGTGGGGACGGTATTCTCGCCGAAACGTGGCGCCAGACGTGGAAAATCGGTAGACAATTCTGATAGACCGGTAGATCTTCGAGGAAGACTCTGCGAGGACTGACGGAAGACCGTGGAAGAGCTGGTGAATGCTCGATGAAAAAAAAATATCCTGAGATGTCGAACGCCTTCTTGTCCCGCGACTCGCGACGACGCACATTCGCCCCCGCGATCGGTCGCCTACGAGAAACAACTTTCCTTCTTTGGATTTACCGACCCAGTGCCGCGATATCGAACGTAACATCGAGATGACGACGCGACAGGTCCCTTCCTTCCGAAAGCGACCATCCACCTACGACGATCTACCTCGTGAAGTACCATCAAGAGAAACTCAAAGGAAAGAACCGTTGAAGAAACCCAGCAACGGTTTTCACGGAAAGTTATATTTCCTGTTATATTTTCAAAGACGATTGCCATGACTCCAATTTAAGAGCACATCATTTTATTTATTTAATGACATAGCATTTGATCGGATTATTCGGTAGAATGTAAGTCCGAACTTTTCATAGTAGTGTTCGATACAAAATAATAATGATATATAACGTTGTCCCTGGATCATTCCAAATTGCAAATGAAAATTTGGAAAACAAGATAGGTGAGCTGTTCTGTATTGATATTTTCTTAACTTCTTCCTAACTTTCTTCCAATCCTTAGTATCAATTCCGATATTCCTTTGTTTTGATAAAAACAGACGTATACATAAGTTAGATAATGGCGAAATGTAAAGTGGTCATTTCGTTAATATACAAATTGTACCTTAGCTGACAAGTTCCTTCTCTTTCGCTGTTACCGAAAGACGCTTTGGGATCAAAGACTAGCAACTAGTTCTTAGGTGCCGATGATCTTTCCTCCCAAAATTAAGCTCGACCCAAATTCTGAACAGAAGCGACGTACACTTTTTAGACCCAGGAAATGGTTAATACATTCTAGAAAATCTAAACACGAAGAAGTCTATTTAGTTGAGCGATATTTAAATTAATTCTGCCGATGAATTACTTCGCATAAAGATATGACTCAGTCAAAGAGTGAGGCAGCATTGAGAGCACTTCGCGCAATGCACTTAGCTCTCTGCATCTTAAGAGCATTCATTAACCATACCATAAAGAGCCTCGGGTCGATCAATTAAATTTCATCCATACCTAAACGTTCCGTATTTAAATATTACGTTGCATTAAAACATCTACATATTTTATCACCCCCACGTAACTAAAGAAAGAAACATTACGCAAACGGAACTTAAACTTAAATCAGACCCGTCGCGGTCTAAGTAACAGACTGCACTCGTTAATACCTTCAGCCTGGATTTTGTCTGAAATACGTATTCTAAAATTGCAACACCATTTATACCGTAAATTACGGTCTATGAGGCCAAACGTGAATTCGGGAGAAATTTGCTTTCTTCTTAGATTATGGTATAAGGAAAGTATATCACGATTGACTATGGAGACGATATTAAAATTTAACGAAAAGGGACTTCGAATATTGTTTCCAATGTTAACGTACACTCGAATGGAAGGAACACGAAACGAATTCAATGGAGAAGTCCCAAGGGGAGAGTTGAAAATAAGGAAATGCAGATCACCGTCATTCGCGCCATCGTCGGGGGGGAGGTCGACCTGGTGTTTCTCGGTTTTGGGCTTCGGGTCTTCCGGGTGCGGAAATAAGGCGAGCGAGTGGTGGGCTCTGGAGCGCCCGAGTCGGGCCTCGAGGTCCGTCCCTGCCGCGGCCTTCTTCGAAACACAACACAACATCGGAGCGAGAGGCGGACTGAGCCGAGAGAGCCGGCTAACCGTGAACACTCTCCTCGAGGCGCTCGGCAGCGCACTAGGCGCGGGCGTCTCGCGTTAATTCATAAGGCGGTTTATTTTCAGCGCGGAGAAGGGCCAACCGGCCGTCCGCGACTATTTTCTTTTACACGAGCTATCGAAACGCCGAGACACATCCGTATATATAATTAGAAAACTTTCGCGGCCAAGGGACGGCACCAGGAAGAGGGCACCGCGCTCGGCGGAGAACCGGACGCGGAAAAGCAAACGTTTCCCTCGCGACATTACCCCGGAGAAAATGCCAAACCCACCTTAAATAACGGCGCACCATTTGACATGTACAAACTTACCCTCGGCGTCGGCCATATTGGTTGTTAGGCGAAACAATCGTTTCCATGGCGACAGGTGCACGGGGAAGTGCGCCGCGGTGCGTCGGGGGACCCGCAGTATTTTTTTTGAAACACTAAGTACCGTTACGATATTCCCACCCGGCGCACTGTATTTAATAAATAGTCCTTCATCTAAGTTGTATCGGTTTGCACTAATCTGAAGATGAATCCTATTGCGAATGGTCGGTTTTTTCCTTCTAAGGTGGACGAGCGTGGTCGAAGGCCTGAGTGGGCAGTTTGAAAATACCCGCGCATTTCTCTCGATTCGATTACATAAATCGATCCGGTCCGCGGATACGGAGAGACCTACGGTGTCAGTGACCGGGCCTGCACGATTGCGATTACGCTCCTGAGACTTCGGAGAATTAATTCGAGCATGTCCTATCCTAACGAGAGCGTGGAGCGACGAGAACGCAGATCTCCGGAAGATTCCCCCGACAGGTGGCGATCATGGTGGGACTGCCGAGATTGGCTTACGTCGGTTCGAAGGTAATTCACCAGGCTTCGCTAATACGTTATGTCATAATTTTGCCCAAGGTTTCATAGCTGTGCCGTATGCGTCGATGTACCGATTACTTCTGCACGTTTACTTGTGGGCTACTCGACGCCGATACGAGCGACTCCGCCATTGAGCGCACGGCGGGCGCATGCGCATTGGTACCGTAACGCACGGCGGAATTATTTCGAATGCGTTCCCTAATCCATATTTGTCGTCTCTCGATGCTGCAGGTGGGACGATCTATTACAAGGACGTTCTCGACAAACAGAATACTAAAGAGCCAAGAGAAGTACGTGGACACGAAGCAGAGTAACGGGGTGAGAGCAATTCCATTTAATTAATGAAGATTTACGCTAGGTGATAAGGCAGATGTGCAACCCACTATATGCATGTTTAGGTTCGCGCGCCTTTCCTAGCGGAATGACTAAACGATCGCGGAACGTTGTTTATCGTCGTAACAGCTAGGTATCGTAAGACATTGAAAAGTAGATCAACGGTTAGCACCTTAGTTACCTTCATTTCGAAGATACTCGGGGCTTGATGAATCGGTATAAAGTTTCGAAGGGAGGGGTTTACATTACCATTTGCTGAAGCAATTTTTTTCGACGAGCGTATGTTCCTTGCTTCTTTTTAAATTGCTTTGAGCATCTCTTTTAGTTACGTCATTGCCGTGGATACGATTCTGTTTATAAGATGAAATGTTTAGGTGAGAACCATAACACTGAATCATGCAGGGAGTCGGAACTCCCTGTCGCTGGAGATGATGAAAATTCTGCTGTATAATATTACGAGGGATCAGAATAATCAAGAGCTCCGATCCATCGTCATAGATGCCGCTCCAGGGAAAGTATTTTCAGCTGGGCACAATCTAAAAGAGTTGGTTCGTACAGGTACTTGGTCCTTTAGTTGGCAAGACACCAAAATTATGAGTTAGCATATTATTGCACATTGTGTAATGAATTACCGCTTCCATTCCGTAGACGGCTGAGTATGGCAAGGATCATCATCAGGAAGTGTTCTCGACGTGTGAAGAGTTGATGCGTTGCATCGTACAATGCCCTGTTCCTGTAGTTGCTGCGGTCGATGGTCTAGCGGCTGCAGCCGGTTGTCAATTGGTTGCAGCATGTGATGTGGCTGTTTGCAGCGAGAGGAGCAGCTTCTCGACACCGGGGTAGACTAATTGAATGTCGAGGAAACATTTACGACAAATGTGTCAACGTATATTTCCATGTTCAGGGCTAATTTCGGAATCTTCTGCTCGACGCCTGGAGTGCCACTTGTACGTAACGTACCGAAAAAAGTCGCCGCGTGGATGCTCTTCACGGGACTGCCAATTTCGGCACGAGAAGCTCATCAAGCAGGTCTCGTGAGCAAAGTAGTGACAAACGGGGAACTCGGTAATTTAATAACTACGTTGGCAGACTTCAAAAAACGACACGATCAAGACATCTCAAGTATACTTTTCGCTTTCAGAGGAAGAAGTGCAGGGAATTACTGCGGCAATAAACGCAAAAAGCCGATCCGTAATAAGCTTAGGTAAACGATTCTTCTACGAGCAATTGGACCTCGACGCGTTAACGGCGTACGCCCTGGGAACGGAGATAATGGTCGGGAATTTACAATTGTGGGACGCACAAGAAGGGATTAGAAGCTTCATAGAAAAAAGACAGCCCGAGTGGTCACACACTTATGAGAAAGAAGACTGAATCGCTGTATTAATATTGACTATGTAATACGTATGCGGTGGTTGTTTTCAGATTTTACTTGTAAGCGAATCATGTTATAGTTATGTAGCGGTTTTCGTTACAATACAGTTTTTGCAAATCTATATTCTCTGAGTAGACCGCCATGGTCGTGACGCGGTACAGATAGTAGAAGGACCTTGATCCCTATTCAGATGTAAAACGTCGCAGGGAGTCACTAAACGTCACCACTACTATGATGGAAGACGATAACGTCGTCGAAGCAACAAGGCTCGTGTACGCTCCAGGGCTATAGGTCAAACGACAACCAATGGCTGTTCGTATCCGTCACTCTTCCAACTGGCGCTTTGCAGTAGAACACGTTAAATCAAAACTAAATATTTTAACAAAAAAGGTAATAAATAGTGGACTTTATTAAATCAACCTTTACTTTATTAAAAACGTTATACCACTTCCTTAAAAGGAATACGAAAAACAGGGTAAATATTACAGACAGTACTGATATTTCTGGGAGTTGCAAGAAATCGAGGTCCATTGTAATTCCAATGTACAAACGATAACGAGCGAGACATTTAAAACGTATTAACTTATTGAAAGTTTGCGGAAAACTTCGAAGATTTCAGTTTGCAGCCCGGGGTTGAAATGCACTTGCAAATATTTAAGTCAGCCGCTTGAAAGTAGTAATTATTTGTTAGGATTAAATTGATTACGTGGTAGAAAAGAAGGAAGGACTAATATTTTTGCATTCTCTCAATATTATATAGGTACAGATATGTGTTTAAAAAAGAAAGTTGAATTGATTTAATCCCTAACCTAAATAATAGAGACGTTAAATATTGACATTCTGAATGCCGATCTTGAAGAATCTTATCATTTACTTTCCTTAAAAATGTTCAATCCATTTACTTTGATAATTTTAAATAAAAAATACGTAAATACTTATAATATTTGCACGTAATTGTTGCGCGATGGTTGATACTACAATCGATTGAAAATGATGAAAGTTATGGTGCTTCGAGATGGGTTAAGCCAGCCAATTTTATTTCAAAATAAACACCTACTGGTACTTACTGTACAGCTGCTCCACCGATAAAACACGTATCTCCTTTCAAACAGTTTCTTCGTTTTCAGCCCTTATTAATGAAACCCTTTTCCTACCAAATTAGTTTACTTTTATCTGCAAATCACATAATAAATAACGTTTAAAAGACGTTCCAGACATCATTCTTCATATATTATCTTCGCTTTAGGAAAATTCGTGCGTGTTAGTTGTTATATTATCATGTATCAATATCTTTTAACCCTTTTGATACGGAGTGACCGTACATGCGGTACAGACGCGTTCATTTCACCACGTAATGCCACTTCAGTTAGATGCTGAAAAAGTTTTTGTTAAAGAAACTATTAATGGGTGACATACTTAATCTCTTTGTATGAATTCTAACGTAGTTGTTATCAATCCATCCTAGACTTTAATAATGACTGGTAAATTAGTAAGGTACAATCTACAATTTCAGTCTACGGTACTAAATAAAACATTTTCAGAGTAACGTATTTATTCAACAAAAAGAAAATGAGTATAAGAAAAGTAACTGTGAATCACTGATGGGGACTCTATGAATGGAAAAGTCGTAAACGAGGAAGGAATGACATATTTAATGGCGACCCCCTGCGAAAGAGGGCATCGCGAAAGTTGCAACGCAATTCAACGAAAGTAGCGTTACGTTGAGTAAATATCCAGAGCAATTTCCACATATGTTACCCATATTACAAAATACAAAAAAGATAAAGAAATATCTTGATATTCTGTGCGAACATTTAAAATTTCAGGTCGAGAGTATAAGCCCGTAAAGTCTATACAATGGGAAAGCTTTGAATGGACAAACTCGATCTTCTGCTTGTGTCCATAAGTGGATATCTTGCGTTCTTTTTATTAAAAAAAAAAAAAATTTTTTTGGCGATACATGAAGTATTTTTAATATTTAAGCATAACCGTTATCAGTTGTTCACGTTTTCCGCGGAAGTGTACAAACCGTAGTATATACTTCAACCGACTTTACACTTTATGAACTCTCTGAATTGTATATTAACCATCTGCTTGGAAAAACCTACTATAATCCTACCTTTATACTCCGTTTTTTTAAGGGGACGCATGCAGTCGTTATCATCCGTCCGTGTCTACGAGTGCACGCTTAAGTACGTTCGACGATTGGATACGGTTTACGATTACGATACTCGTATTGTACAGTCAGTAACAGGCAGCTCGAAACAACAACGTCGACAATCCCTCTTTAGATTCCCCCGCTCTGATACTTATAAATTAGGATGCAACACACATCCAGCGCCAGTATTCCGTTCGAGGCATCATCCGAGTAAAAATCTTGAGAACTGAGTGATCGTTCCCTATGTTAGTGCGTTCGTATGAAATAAGGATATTATACCGTTCTTAGTGTTTCCGATGATGAAGTAAAGTGAGCCAGTTTGTTATTGGGCTGTCTTTATTGTAGCAAAAACGTAACCAGTAGTTGATGACTTTGTTAGAGTATCCCGAAGAGATCTGCATGAGGTTTAGCGCAATCCAGCCGCCTAAAGCACGGAAAAGAAGGCTTCCTGAATACAGGAAAACAGTTTACACGGAAAGAAGATTTACGCGTAAGGAAATCGCGGAGCTGCTTTTCGAGAATTGCGCTGGTAGGTTTGATTAGGCGTTGATTGGCCTTGCCGATTCTACGTGTATCAGCTGGTCAGAAGTGTTATTGTACTGGGTTACTATTATAGGTTGCGAGAGAATGGCTGCTATTCCACAAGCAGCTTTTGCTGCTTGCAAGATTCGCCAAAGTCGCGAGCGCAACTTCATCTCATCCAAGATGGCGGCAAATGAGAGCAGCGGTTCTGATAAGGGAAACGGGTTTAACTGCAAACCTTCTAACGAAGGTAAATTATTCCTCATTTTACGAAAATTAATTTCACAGCCGTAAATACATTAGCCATTTAAGAAACTTTATAAGTGTGTCGTTAAATTTTACTTTTCTTTTGTAATTGGGCACCACTTCGTGCACGAGAAAATGGAGCTCGAGTAATCAACTATTTTTGCTGTAACGTAAATGTTAAGTAATCGGATACTTGTACAATCGACATTTGAAATCATATTTATGTAACTTTTCAATATTCTAGTTTTTTAGTCTTATTTGCCCAGAATCTTGAGATGCTGATGTTTTATAATATTTGACAAGTTTGTATGCATACGAACGCATCACGCAGTGCTATAAATTGACACTACTGTTTTTCGTTTACAGGCATGGAGCTGACCCCTTTGAAATATAACAGCAAGTTAATGAACAGCATCTGGGGATTGTACAATCGTTATTCGGTACATAACTTCAAGAAAAATACCGACGCCAATGATGGGGATTCTGCGGCGGCCTGGGGGGTTTTCTTCACTTCAAGAGACCCCAAAACTATGAAGGAGGAAACTCCGATCGTAGCGACGGCCGCCGTAAAAACGTCACGTGTTCTAACCACCGGAAATCCTATGTAAATCCTAAATGCCCCACGGCACATAAGATTTTATGGTGGAAGTCACGTAAAAATACGATAAACTTGAATTTCTAACAAAGTCAGAATGTCTAATGTTTGTATGAAAAGAAGAAATTCAAAGTATATTTAATATATTCATACGTGTAATAATTACATTTGTACCTTCAACACTCATCGCAAATTTATTGTTCATTCTGTGTGTAACAGCCCGTACACATTTTTTTATTTCAATTCAGTCATATAAAAAATTATATATCTGTTGTCCAAGGTAAGTAGCTGTGATTTTCGCGTAAAGAGCGTATTCCTTATTTTTATCTAAATTTTGCTATATATCCTCGTATATTTCTGCAAATGCCAATTGAAAATACATTTATTGTTCTGTTGTTGCACGTTCCTGTCGCGAGTAACTAGTAGTCAGGTTTCGTAAATGAAAACACAAGTGAATGTAAGTATGAAAGATATAAATGTACTTAAATCGATGGAGATGGCTCACTGGCCGTCCCGTGCCAAGGTCCGCTATGCCAAGACAAGTTGCGCGCGCACGCGGCCGTCAGCTGGAAGCCCATTTGAGAGATTTGAATTGTGGTAATGTCAAGTTATTTTATTTCAATGACATGATTCGAAATTTTTCGGTATCAGTGAGATTTACGCTCGAACGGCGAATCTCACGATGAAATCCAAGCAGTTACTCCAATTGACATTGGCTGTACTTAAGCCACACGTGGTTAAGTCACCGTTTGCCGTTCAAGTAATTACATAACCTTACCATTAGTGCAATGAAATATACAAAGTATTTCTTACTTGCGTATGTAATGTCAGTGTTACGAATGAGCCCACTCATTTGTATAATATTCAATGGAACCTTATGGTTTTGTGAATATGACAAAATCTGATTTTGTAACCTTGAGCATGTATGTCGTATTAGAAATAGCATTCAAATGTCAAATGTAAAATAGTTGCGCAATGAGAGTCCTTTAATTTTCAGAAAATTCGTGATATAATAATTGACAATAATTTCAAAGTTGTCAGATCACTGAGGAAGGTTATTGTTCCAAGTGAGGCAGAATTATTCTATTCGGATCACAAGGGAAAATTTTTTTATAATCGACTCTTAACGTTCATGTGCAGTGGGCCATCGGATATTCATATCTTAGCAGGTCATAACGCTATCGTTCGATGGAGAATGTTAATGGGACCAACAAAAGTCTATCAAGCCCAATATAATGCGCCAGAAACCATTCGAGGCATATTTGGTTTATCAGATACTAGAAACGCTACACATGGTTCAGGTAATTAAAGTACTGTCAAAACTATGTGACGATGTTGTATAAATTTTTTACAAATCATCTCTGGTTTTAGATTCTCCTGACTCAGCAGAGAAGGAAATAAAAATATTTTTTAAAGACTTTGATACAAGACAATGGATAGAAAATGAAGAAATTTTTTTCAATTTAGGAAGACTTAAATTTGACCCTTCGTCGTTTGTACATACTATTGACAAAAGTTATGTTACCGATGATGACAGACAGAGTACAAAATAGTTTGTAACATAAAAATTCTATATTTCAGTCACTGTATGTATAGCTACTACTTGTAATATTTAAATCAAACTAGTTTGTGTATCATATATAGATTTTAACATAAATCGTAATAAAATTATGATGACTTTTGTTTAGAAAAATAGTTTATTCTACTTTACTTTGTATTTGAATCTTGAAGTCTAGTGAATTTTTAATTTTAAAGTGGACTAGGTAATTTATCAATCTTAAAATTCATATGTACAACTTTACAACAATCTTGACAAGCTTAAAACAAGATAATACAACGCATATGAGACTACAGCATAAATATGTATAATACATATTGCAGTAATTGCTATTATATACAATGACAGTCCAATGTGAAGAAACGTGATACAGTGATCACCTTTTGAATATCATGAATTACCTCAATCGAAATATTAAGCATTCACTTTTACATAAACTTTTGGTCTTGAAAATACCTTTATACCTTCTTCCAATTTATTAAGTTGTTTTTCGATTTCCATTTTTCTTCTTTGGGATTTAAGAGTATCAGTCTTTATGGGCATCTTATTTAACTCGTTAACAAACTCTTGATAATCTGAAAAATGTAAATACTTGCAGTGCATTGTTAACCTATTGCATTTGCTTGTTACTCACTCTTTTTTAACATTCGCAATGTTTCTTTACGTTCATTGTCAGGAAGGGGGATATGACCTTCTGGACAATCAGCAAGCGATGCCGCTGCTTTGGCTAATTCATCTTTTTGCTGTTGAGCTTCCTTTCGTTCACGAATATATCTATTATAAAAGGCATAAAGTAATCTATTGAAAATGTTCACCAGTTAATAAACTGCCCGGATTTGCCATTATTTGAAATAAAATAAGAATAATTATATACTTGGACTGTTATCACTATTACTAATTCCTAAAAATAATTGGATAAATAACCTTACATTTATTTGTATTGATGCTGTTATTAAAAAATGTATACTTCTAATGAACTAATGAATAGAAGCAGCAAACAATGTTAATAACAATTCAATAATAGATAAGAACAAGAGTTACTTTTAATATCATACTTGGGAACAACACCCTTGCGATAATGAGGCGGTATGCTGTTGCTGAGTCGATTTGCCATTTTATTAGCAACAGAAGTTTGTTGCTTGTTCAATTTGATATAATCTACTTTTTCAGCAGGAGTAAGACTTTCACTTTGCTTTTGCTCTGATTCCTGAGTTAAATCCAAAGATGGAAATACATCTCCTCTATCCGAGGGAGGATTTGACCAGACTTTAGGAGTTTTGTCTTGGTTGAGCTCCACTCTTGGTGCCAATGAATTATTTTGTGGGCTTCGACACGATGGATATCTTTAAAGGAATAGGATTTAAAAAAAGTTTCAATGTACTAAAGGATAGGATTGAAACTAATATCTTACTACCTAATAACTCCTTCTGCATATAAATCGTTCAAAGATTTTGTGTCCAGTGTTTGTATTCCTTGATTTCTGTATTTTACATTGCTTCTTTCCTCTAATTTTCTATGTGAAATATCTGATTCGGAAGGCCTTTTCGATTGCTTATTCTTCTCATTTTTATTGGTTGATTTGTTTCTCTCCATACTTTTCTGTTTCGTTTCTGTCACATTTTTTGACAGTTTAGATATTTTTTTATTAGATTTATTAGATACTGTAATTATATTGCTTTTGTGATGCAGTAGATCCATGTCATCTTCTGCCTTTATAGCATATAAATCGTTTACAAATGCATCATCATGCTTATTTTCTCGAAGACTAGAATGAACTCTAGGTCCAACATTTCGATACTTGTCTGGTACTCTTTGCTGTCTCTGGACGTGAACTTTTTGCAAATCCTCAATCTCTTTATTGGTATGAAAAAACTGTTCCATTTTGCGAACATTTTTCACGTTTTCATGAATAAAATTTTTTCGTTGTACTGGCCCTAAAATTTAACAGAACTAAGAACTTACGGTGGTACAAATATTAAACAAAAAGTTCTTTCCAAATCTGTATATGATCATTCCAATACTTACTCGGCTCTGGAAATATACCCTTCAATGTCGCCATTGTAAAAGATTGATTAACTATTTATTCCAATGCCACACGACAATACCGGTACCCCGGAACAATATCGAATAGTAAAATTTACGTATGTTTCGTTTAGTGCAATTTTAGCCCTACGTTACCTTCAGAAGTAAGCACATTATAAATGAGAGATTTATCCCTGAAATTAATACCGCGAAATAGTATTAATTTAATTTTGTTTCGTTCCCTGTCACCAAAGTTTTGTTTATAAATGGTATCATAGCCACCTGCGTACGCTGTCAACACTTCAGTTTGCTTCAGTTGGTAAATTGCTTATAGCCGTTCACAGAGATGAGTTGGGAGATTGCTCACAGGCAGGATCGCGCGATCGCATCGTGTGCTGCCCTCTGGTTTCGTACGTTAGCTTTCACCGTTTTTTGCCCCCAAGGGCGGCGCAACGAATTTCTGGTAGGGGCTCGCGCACTCGCGATGGCTGTGCTATCTACCAGTTGCCGTTGGCGGCTCACGTATTCGTGATGGTAATACCATGCGGCAGTTGACGGTGGTGGCTTACCATTATGGCAATCTCCCAACTCATCTCTGCCAAATCACCTGCTTCCAGGNCACCTAAACCTGCAAAGGGGCACAAAAGTACAGGTAAAACAGAACATTGAAGAAACACCAGGAAGTCGCCAGATTCTTCGAAGTCGCCCACCTAAAGCTGAAAGGGAACACAAAGGCACAAACGAAACCATTGGGAAAGCGAGAAAGAGACGGTGATACAAGAGCTAATAACTTACTAAAGTTACCATTAAAGTCAAGAATATTTCGCAGTGCATCGATCTCGTATAATTGACCCAGTAAAAATGTATTCAATTATACATTACTTGGCGTGACAAAAATCTAATATATTTATCTTACTTAAATGCAGACTCGAGAAAATTTCATGAAAACGATAGTTCACCGTCTCTCCCCGTCAATCCAGACAGAAGGATATACAAAAAATTAGAGGGATAACGTGGCGAAAAAAATGGATGACTGTCCAAAGAATGGAAGGCCATCGTAGTTGCCCTCTTCTTAAGGGGCCGCTTCGGCATATAGCCTCTTCGACACTTGTAATCTCTTCGGGCAGAATCTAAAATCTAGCAAAACGACGACCTGCGATCCGAGGATGCGCAGTCCGAGCGTATTGCACATTTATTCGATTCCCAAGCGCAGTCTAATTAATTTTATTGCTGAAAGAAAATTGATACAATCGCGGATATATCACAGGGTGGACATCCTCCGCGCTTCCGGAAGCGCGGACGATGGAAAATTACCCCAGGTTCAGGATCTCCTCCCAAACCCCCAGGAAGAGATCCCGCCCTGGCCCTGTCTGCTTACATCTAGACATTCACTCAAGATAACTGACCTACCTCCCTAGCTATATCTAAAAGAAAAAACACATTCGTTCCAACTCTCATTCCGCCCGGGGACAAAAAGCCTAATCCTAGGGACAGCATCCCGGGATGCGTCCGACCCCCGAGTTCAGTTCTCACACTTATACGTTCCGATTGCCATCGCCGGTTGAATAAAAGAAAAATTAAACTTGTTCGCGGAATCGAAACGCGGATAGCAATTGGAGGGATTCGCGAAATATCGGTTTACCGCGTCTCCTGGCCCCGACCCGATCGACTCGCTCCTGGAGGAGTCGAAGGGTGGAGGCCAGCAAAGAACGCGGCCACAAGAAAGGGCACCTACCGTTGTAGAGGCTGGAAGAATCCTAAGCTAATTAATTTATACATCGTTGAAACGAGCTACTGACTCTACTCGATATCCATATTTCATAATTTTTCCAAAAAAGAAAGGCCAAGCCCAGCACGCACTACGGCCCCAGGGTAGTGGAAGGCTTGGCCGAAAATAGTTGAAAATCCTGAAACGTTCCCCTCGTCGAGGCGGCGGCTCTAAATCGATCCACAGGCACATCGAAGTGCCACTTCGTCTCGAGGTCGGCTCCTCGCGAGATCCTCCTCCCAAGTCTTTTTGAGATCATTTGAAGATATATTGCGAAACCGATGGCCCCGAAGTCGGAGGGTCGTCCGACTTCCCGGCGCATGATAAATAAACGCGAAACGTAATCTACCGCGGACCCAGGAGAAAGCTATTCCTAGTCTAAGTCAATACACAAGAAATAAACAAAGTTTACGCGGCCACTCGCGAGTCGGCGAGAGGTCACTCCCCGTCCACTCGCGGTCCCTCAAACAAATCGTAACGTACAACCGATCCCCGTGACGGTACGGACCTGTCATCCTGCGGCATGAGGGGATCGGAGGAAGAAAATGTTGAGACTTACCAACGGGACGATACGTCTTTTTCTGGCAGTACTCCCCCAGGAGATCCCTCCGCAGAGACCTGGGGTTTCTGGCCTCCTCTCCATCTGCCTCCCTTCGACATTGGCTCTGGCTGCATTCCACCTTTGTGTCCGCTTCCACTGCTTTCGCTGCTTTCGCTGCTTTCGCTGCTTTCGCTGCAGTCGCTGCATTCGCTGCATTCGCTGCATTCGCTGCATTCGCTGCATTCGCTGGATACTCTGGATACGCTGGGTACGCTGGATACGCTGCCTTCGCTTCGTCTTCCTCTTGCTTCATTGAACGATAATACTATATTACTGCCTTCGTTGAATTCTTTTTCTTTCGCTGAACGATATTTAATCAATGGCACTCGCGGACCGTGATCACTGTCGCGTCCTAACCTCATTGTCTTCGCGTCGGTTCGGAAACTGGGCGTACACCCCACCTCGTCATCTACGAAGCGTCCCTTGCACCTCGTTACGATCTCTGGATGCCGTCGATTGAGAATTATAGCACCATGTTGATATAAATGTCACTCGTGGTATGTAATACGTCCCTCGCGCCCCCCACCATGTTCTTAATTTTCGACGACATCTTATCGCGGCAAATTTTCAGGAGCAGCTGGCGATCCGCCGGCCGGGCCGCAATCCCCGGCCGTGTCTGACTCCGTGATTGGACGACGTCGCCGACCCAATCACGGTCTATTATAGGGCCGGTGATGGACCGTGATTGGGCCGGCGACGTCGTCCGATCACGGAGTCGGACACGGCCGGGGATCAGGTGTCAGGTATCGGTCGGGAGAAGGGACGGTATGGTAAATTCTAATCCCCACCATCTGTTAAGCAGCCAATTAAAAACGTCCGATTAGGCTCCCTTCCCGTATCATCCTCGGGACGAAGATTCCAAAAGTCCCTTCGAACCAGTGGCGAAGAAGACGCCGAAGACTGGGGACGCTCTCTCTACCCACCAGGAAGGATCACCATCATCGAAGAAGATTCGCGTTTAATATAAGTGCCGTCTCGTGTACAGAGACCACTGAAATCAAGTAAGATTTTATTTTGATGTGTTTCTGTTGATTTTGCAGACGTGGATTATATTCATGTCTTTAGAGTCTGCAGCCGTTGGCGTTGCACAGTGTGTCGCAGCTGTGCTGCGACATGCGAGGTTGTGCGATTCTGACATTCGTTTCGTGGCGCACGCTTCTCCTTGGCGGCCGACAAGGTAAAGCGTGCGTCGCGGGCGTTTGTCGGGTCGTACGATCGCCTGCATCGTTAACGTCTGCTTTTGCCCCGCGAATGGAGTCACGCGAAATTAAAGTTTGCTGGCGTGGTGATTTTCACGCTCTAGAATCCGCAGTCGTTGATAGTACATAGTGTGTCGCAGCAAGTCTGCGGTATGCTAGACCGTGCGATCTAACTTCCGTTTTGCGGCGGACGCTTCCCCTTGGCGGCCGACAAGGTGAAGCGTGCGTTGCGGGCAGTCGTGGGTCGTACGGTCGCCTGAACCATTAACGATTGCTTTTGTATCGAAAATAGGCCCTTCTAGCAGAGTTCCATTTACACCCTCTGTGTTAGATTGGTGAAGGTGGTCTCTCGCGTAGGTTAATTAACTGTAAAATCAAGTGTGTAAGTTAGTTTTAAGAACATTTCTTCCCGCGGGAAAAAATGAAGAAAATCCCATCGTGACACCTCGAAGTCTCGTGACGAAGAGGTGACAGGATGGGTGTCTAGGTAGATGTTTTAGAGCTCCTAGACGGGCCCCATTGAGCGGCGACCTCCTCGTGGTGGGCCTGGGGAATCGTTGATTCGACTTGCACGGAAATGCAAGAGAAGCATCGATTCGCGAATGGCTACTCGGCTAACCAATTTTGAAATTTACTAATCAACTTTGTATTAGATATTTTTGACGATCATCCAATTTTGAAATTCATTTTTCAAATTCTTTTAAGGGGTATGGCCACGGTAGAATTTTCAAAAAAACGATTTTTGTTTTTTTGGCTTAAACGATGCTTTAATATCATAAGAATAAGTTAGCATTTGACTTACAGCGAAAAAAATTTTCTTTATCGACTTTGAGCATGTAACATAAGCCTACTTGTAGCGCGGCCGTGGAGTATCCGAGCGCGCCGCGTGACGACCTCGGATTTTCGGAGCTATACCATTAGAGAGCACTGGTTGTCTACCTGTACGAAAACATACCTATAGAGGATCATCTAATGCCAGTATGACCGTTGAAAGAACGCCATTCAGTTGCTCTTCTGCTTTTTGTACGTGATTTTGTATTGTGCAAGTTGAAGCATTCTTTGTGAGCAGCCGAAATGAGTGACCAAAAAAAGGTTTATCTATCAAAGAAGGGGTCAAAATTAAATACTTGGTCTTCGTATAAGACCAATATTTCGAAGCGTAGACTGGTAAATCGATTCTTAGCAGAGGCAGATGCAGAAGGCGTGAGCGCGTCGGCCAAGAAACTACGACTGTCAACGAGTTCGCGTGATAATGACACTAACGCTAAATTCGGTAACAGATTTATAAATTTCGTAACTGTTATGAACGCAATTGCTGAAGTGGTTGTTTGCAAAACGTGCGGTCAAGATGTAAAAATCACTGAATCGGCCATGCGCGGTTTGGGTTTCAAGATCGTAATTTCTCGTAACCAGTGTGAGAAAACTGAAATACCTAATTGCCTTTACGTGAGAAATGGATATGAAATTAATCGCAGAATCACCTTAGCGATGCGATTATTAGCTGTAGGTTTGAATGGTATAAAAAAGTTTAGTGCCTTCATGGAATTGTCACGGCCGATATACCATTCCTTTTATGACAAACTTGTCGAAGCAATTGCTGTAGCAACGAAAACTGCGTACTGTGCGTAACTGTGCGTAGGAAAGCTGAAGAGGATGAAAATCTTGCCTTAGAAGGTTGACTTTATGGAGCTGGCATCGCAGACTAA